CGTAGGTGGATCACCTGAGTCAGGAGTTCGAGACCAGCCTGGCCACATGGCAAAACCGTGGCTCTACTAAAATTACAAAAATTAGCTGGGCATGGTGGCAGGCGCCTATAATCCCAGCTACTCAAGAGGCTGAGGTAGGAGAATCGCTTGAATCCAGGAGATGAGGTTGCAGTCGAGCTAAGATTGCACCACAGCACTCCAGCCGGGTGATGTGAGCAGACACTCTCGTGCTCTAAAACAACAACAACAAATAAATAAATAACGAACAATGGAAGTCTATTTGTTCAAGGTAGAAATACGTTTTATTTTACAATTTTGCGCTTGACTTACAACAACTTTATATATCCAGACAAAGGTTATATGCGACCCTTCATTTGTTCTTGCCCATACGCCTGCTTTCTTCCACCAAAAAGAGATCATGAATGCTTTTTTTTTTTTTTTTAATTCAAGCTGCTAGAGTATATAAAAAGAGTACCTGATTTAGGAAGGTTCGACTTACAGTTTTTGACTTTACTACATTGGCACAAAAGCGCAATAAGCATTCAGCAGAAAGCATAAGCTTATTGATGAGTACCCATACCTCGGCCTCCCAAAGTGCTGGGATTACAGGCTTGAGCCACCGCGCCCGGCTAGACTTTCATAATGACTTGGAAAGCTAGATTCAGAGTTATAATGGTCAGACTCCTTAGAATACCATGTGGGATCGTAAGGTAGGGGAAAGCCGGCCCCAGCCATGACCCTTCCTTATCCTCCCACCCCTGGCTCCATCTTGGACCATGAAAGGTTTTGTGGACACAACAGCGTATACAAAGAAGCCTCCTCTAAAATCCCCACCAAGAGCTGCCCTCGGGCCTATGAGTGCACATGTAGTATCGTCCACTACCTTGGGAGGTCAGAACTAAGAAAGAGCCCCTAGAGGGCCTGGACGTGGACATTGGGTCCAAGGTGCCCTGGTATCTTCTAGAAAGGTATCTGCGTGTCTGCCCGGGAATCCTTGCCCCTTTAAGAAGGGGCGTGGCTGGTAGAAGGCCAGACAAGTCCCTTTGATGTGAGTGCCCAGGTCTGACTAGGAATCTTTGAATGCTAGTCTGGTTTTGATCCTGGAAAAGCTAGTCATCACTTTCAGCATGAAGAAAGGAGAACGAGAAGCCTCCATTTGGAATGTGTTAGAATTCAGCAGCATGCAATTAAAAAGTTGTTTTTAATGGGTGACCATCAGTGTTTCCTGGCATAGGTTCATTTAAAAAGCTCTGGGCTTGATCAAATGGCAAAATATACAATATATTTATACAAGGTGGTTTGTTTTTGTTTTCAGACTTTACTTTTCAAGAACCATAATGAAGTTTTGATTAAAGACTGTCACTCTTTGGTCCCATGGATCATGGCTGTCTTCTGGGCTGATACGATGTTTCACCTCCTGGAATCTTGTCTGGTGGCCTTCTTCCTGCTCGGAACATCTGTGATTGCACAGGTGCTCCTGCATTATTACTACTTACTTCTAAGGGGATGCTGATGAGAAGAGCTAATGTAATTTCAATACATAGGAAAAGGCAAAGCCAAGATCAAGTTTAAATTGGAAGATACTATCTTAAAGGGTACGATAGTGAAGTGAACGTGTATACTGGCAAATCACTTGTCATTTTTGATAACAGTAATACAGAAGTTTTACAACTTGTCCGTTAGTGAGATTCTCAAATTGCTTTAGAGAATAGAGAAAAACAAGCAAGTTGGAGTCCTGAGGTTCTGTTCTTCCGGTGATTGGAGAGAATTTAAATAATACCTTGTTTTTACATCATTAATTATTTAATCAAAACTGAAAACATTATGCCCATAATACTGCATCCACAAAGTGGGTACTGAGGAATGAATGAATATAAATTCTCCAAACATCTCTCATTTCTCATTCTTGCTTAAGAAAGTATTTGTGCTTTCTAAAAAATTCCTCTGATAGATTTTTTAAAAGTATATCTTTAAAATGAGGAATCCATACTGAAAAGTGATATGTTCCAAGGCTTCTTCCCACCACTGGAAATATTCCTGATTACTGAATGTAATGAAATAAATTTGTCATGTTGGACATAATGTGTGGTGGAGTGCAGAATGAAGAGCCCAAAACTCCGAGTGGAGGCTTGACGTTTATAGTTATAAATATGTACTTTAGGAATTGATTTATATAGAAAAATACCAGGGCTAAGATGGATAAATTGAAGCTTGTTCTCACTAAGTAGTTTAGACAGTTCATCAAATATTGGTTAAAATCTTTCTCTCTCTGGAGATCGAAAATAAGAGATTAAATGGCAGTGTCCCATGCATGGGACTCTGATTGTCTCGCTGACCAGTCTGTTCATATGAATATAAATGTAGTTGGGCAGCCTGTGTGTGCCTGGTGTGCAGCACGTGGCTCAGCAACTCAGCCGACCACTGCCTTGTTTCGTTACTTAGGCTAAGAATAGACTTTATGGTTTTAAATGGTTGGGGAGCCTGGGGGCGGTGGCTTACGCCTGTAATCCTAGCATTTTGGGAGGCTGAGGCAGGCAGATCACCTGGGGTCAGGAGTTCCAGACCAGCCTGGCCCACATGGCAAAACGCTGTCTCTATTAAAAATACTAAAATTAGCTGGGTGTGGTGGAAGGCACCTGTAATCCCAGCTACTCGGGAGACTGAGGCAGGAGAATTGCTTGGACCCGGGAGGCGGAGGTTGCAGTGAGCTGAGATCACGCCACTGCACTCCAACCTGGGTGACAGAGAGAGCCTCCGTCTCAATAAAATAAAATAAAAATAATAAAAAAAAGGTTGGGGAAAATATCCTAAGAAGAATAATGCTTTGTGATATGGGAAAGTTACATGAAATTCAAATGTCAGCATCCATGAGTAAAATTTTATTGGAATGTAGCCACACCCATTCTTGTACGTATTGCCCGTGGCTCGTTTCCTGCTCCAGTGGTGGAGTTGAGTGTTTGTGACACAGACCTTATGGCCAGGAAGGCCTAAAATGTTTACCATCTGGCCCTTTGCAGAGAAAGTTTTCTGAACCCTGGCTTAGCAGAGTCAGTGCTTGTTGCTGCTGGCAGCCTGTGGTCCCCCCTCTTTTCCCCTTGTCTTCTTGCTTTTACCTTAAATTTGTGTTGAATTTTAGTGATAGGTAACGCTTCTGTTGAGTGCTTACTATTTTTAATTTATTCAATTCTCATATGAACTCTGTGATGTAGATTCAATTATTATCCCCATTTTACAGATGAAGAAATTGAGGCATAAAAACATAAGCAGCAGGGCTTAACGTCTAGCCTCCTGGCTCCCTCCACTTTCCCCGTTTTTATTTTTATTTTTTATTTTTTAAGAGACAAGGTTTTGCTCAGTCACCCAGGCTGGAATGCAGTGGCATTATCATAGCCTCCAAGTCCTCGGCTCAAATGATCCTCCTGCCTCAGCCTTTTGAGTAGCTGGGACTGTAGGTGTGCATCACCATGCTTGGCTTTTATTTTATTTTAATTTTTTTGTAGAGATGGGGTGTTGCTTTATTGCCCAGACTGGTCTTGAACTCCTGGTCTCAAGTGATCTTCCTGCCTCAAAAAGTGTTGGGATTATAGGCGTGAGCCACCATGCCCTGCTCTGCACTTTCTCTTGACCACCCTGTCCCCTGTGTCTTGGAGATCAACTTCTGGCATTTGTACCCTTCTTTATCAGATTCACCATATTCACATAAGAGGTGTATGTGTACGTGTGTGTGTGTGTGTGTGTGTGTGTGTATTAGGGTATTCTTGCATTGGATAAAGAAATACCTAAGACTGGGTAATTTATAAAGAAAAGGGCTTTAATTGGCTCGTCATTTTGCAGACAGTACAAGTAGCTTTTTGCTGGCATCTGCTAGGCTTCTAGGGAGGCCTCAGGAAATCTATAATCATGGTGGAGAGTGAAGGGGGAACAGGCATGTCACATGGTGAAAGCCTGAGCAAGAGAGGGAGAGAAGGTGCCACACACTCTTTTATTCTCTCATGAGAACTCACCATTCACAGAAGTCGTGCTCGCGCAGCCTGCGTGCTCGCAGCAGGCACCAGGCTCCAGGCCCCCTCATTAGGGCCACTGGGAAGAGGTGACTTCACTCTATACACCTGGCCCTGGGGAAGGTGCACCTGGGAGAGACCCACACACTGCTGCTGCCGGCTTCCCTCCAGGTCCACCTCCTCCCCCAGTGACGCTCACCATGGGCCCCCACGCATGGCTACCTGGCACCAACTCACTGAGCCACCCACCACTGGGGCTGGCACCCTGCGCCTTGGACCAGTGTCTGCAGCTGTGGAGAGAAGTCCCTGGTCTTCCCCTTCATCCTCGCTGGCTGCCTCCACGGGACAAGGACCGATTCTGACACAGGTTCCTCTTTTCCCCTTCCCGACATCGTCAGAAGACGGTGTCGCTGCACACCATCCATATACAGACCCTCCTTGAAAAAAGACAGAGGCCAGGCTTGGTGGCTCATGCTGTAATCCCAGCACTTGGGGAGGCCGAGGTGGGCGGATCATTTCAGGTCAAGAGTTAGAAACCAGCCTGCCCAACATGGAGAAACCCTGTCTCTGCTAAGAATATAAAAATTATCCGGGCGGGGTGGTGGGCGCCTGTAGTCCCAGCCAGTCAGGAGGCTGAGGCAGGAGAATTGGTTGAACCCGGGAGGCAGATCTTTCAGTGAGTTGAGATGGTGCCCCTGCACTCTAACCTGGGTGACAAGAGGGAAACCCTGTCTCAACCACCCTCCGCACCAAAAAAAGAATGAATTTCTACAAACGTCCTGTGCTGAGCTTCAGTCTGCTCTCAGGGTGGGACGGGATTTCCTCACATCTCTGGGAGAAGAGAAGGCTGTGGCCACCTGGGGGGCCCAGGGTGGTGGGTCTGGCATGTGGTGACATAGCTAAGAGAGCAGGTACTGGAAGTTCTAAGAGGTGCTTAGACAAGAGCTGGTGCCGGGCCACAGATGCCCAGCCCAGTGGGGCCATTCCACAGCAGATAAAGCTCAGGACGTCAAAAACACCCTGGACACCAAGGCAGAAACCAAGGACCTTCCGCAGGCAAATAAGCACCCAGCATCCATTCCGGCTGTCAGTGCCCCTGTATCTTGTAGTTATTCTTTCAATAATAACAAAAGCCGTTTATGGATTCCATCTAGAAGGAAAACCTTGTTTCAGTCACCTCTCTCTGGCTGTTACTTTCCTTCCACCTTCTCCCTCCCTAGAATGTGTGTGCCTGGCCTATCCTCCCTGGGCCATAGCTGTGGCGCATGTTGCACACGTGCACAGGCACGAGGATGTCTTTGGGTCCCTTGCCCTGCAGTTTCCAGGGATCTCTGCTCCGAGTTCCCGAGCAGGCCCCTCAGGGAGAAATAGCCTCACATGGAATATGGGTGTCTCAGCGGCCCGTCTGGAAGGGCTGCGGCAGTTCCCCCATGTCTCCAGGTAGCCACTTACCTCTCGAGCTTAGACACCTTTGCACATGGTTGCATTTCTTTAGTCAACTGTGGGTCTTTCGGTGTGGGTTTGATTTTGCTTTTGCTTTTCTAGGTGAGATTTCCCAACTGCATCCTCAGAAGCTCTGGGCATGCCAGAGGACCCCCAGAACCAAGAAGGGAGGGTGAGTGGGTCTCCATTCCCTGAGAAGCCAGGGGCAGAGTGGGATGGGGGAGACCAGGAGCAGAGTTGAGCATCACAGAAGCCAACACAGGTCTCTGTTCAGCACCCGTGCCAGGGCTGCGGGCCCAGGGAAACAGCCCCATTTCATCACAGCCCCTCTCAGGGCCTCAAGATGGCTGGCGCGGGCTGCTGGCAGGAGAGGGATGTCCTGTCCCTGGCGGCCACTCCACAGAGAGTACCCCAGCATCTGCCACTGCCTTCGCCCTTGCTTTGACCTTGAAGTTAACTCTCTTAGAGTCTAACTTTGGTTCATTTCTGCATAGATACAATAGAAGATTTATTTGTTAAAAATGTTTATTATATATAACATATTAATATCAGTATAAATAACATTAATATACCATCAATTAATGTATCGATATATAAATAAATTAATATAATACCAATTAATATATAATTATATAATATATAATTAATATATATAATATATAAATATATATTAAACATTTTAATTTTAAATCAGATATTAAAAATATATTATATATACATATTTGTTCATAAGATTTATGTTTTAAACGCTGGTGTAGAGTACCTTTTTTTTTTTTTTTAAATCTTCCAGTGCAGTATATTTTTTAAAGCACAAAATTGGTGCCAAGACTGGGTGAGGAATATACATTTCCCTCTTATTATTTTGTAGTTTTGGGACCTTACCTGTAAGACTCTTAAAGATTTTCCTCCCTCCTATTTCAGGGTGGGTCACATTCTGGTGAATGTTTCACTTGTACAGATCCTAGCTTATTGCCTTGACCCAGCCATCCCCACAGACACTGGGTGACTCTCTGGCTCTCCCTGTGTCTCCCACCCCAAAATGCCTTGGGACCCTCGACCCCACCCTTCTTTTGTGCCAGCCTTGTGGCTTGTATGGTTTTGAAACTCCCATTCTATTTTATGATGGTTGATTATAATTATTAACCTAATAAAGTTTGTTTTTAAAAAATCTGTGTCTGTCTGTAAAGAACTCACTATTGAAAGGACAGCATTGCCTGGTCAAATGGTGAAACCCTGTCTCTACTAAAACTACAAAAAATTAGCCAGGCATGGTGGCAGGTGCTTGTAATCCCAGCTGCTTGTGAGGCTGAGGCAGGAGAATCGCTTGAACCTGGGAGGCAGAGGTTGCAGTGAACCTAGATCACGCCATTGCTTTTCAGCCTGGGCAACAAGAGTGAAACTCTGTCTCAAAAAAAAAAAAAAAAAAAGACAGCATGAAGCCATGTGGAATCTGATCCTATGACCCAAACACCTCCCGCTAGCCCCCATCTCCAACTGTGGGGATTCCATTTCAACAAAAGATTTAGAGGGGACAGCATTCAAATCATGTCAGTGTGTGTGTGCTTGTGTGGGTGTGAGGTTACTTTACCTAGTCCTGATGTCATGGGCTTAATGTGCTGCTAATACATTTTTTAATACACATTGAAAAATAATTATAACTATAAAGATTAAACATGGTTTTCCATGTACCACTAAAAACGGTTTCCTGTTCCATTAGTGGTATGTGTAGCGCTTGTGTGCAACCCTCTTGGGTCTCCACTCACAGCTCTTGACCTATTTGTGGGACTTAAGGTAAGATATTTGTGGATTCTGGTTTTTAAATTTAAAGCAAACTCAAGCTGTATGATCCTGAAGTATAAGAGACGATACAGAATAATTTAAGGAGGTTGGGAAAGCTTTCTTTCTTTTGTTTTTTAGAAACAGGTCTTGCTTTGTCACCCAGACTGGAGTGCAGTGGTGCGATCATAGCTCACTATAGCCTCAAACTACTGTGCTCAAGCAATTCTCCCATCTCAGCTTCCTGAGTAGCTGGGACTACTAATGTGTGCCACCATGCTAGCTAATTAAAAAAAAAAAAGATTTTTTTTTTTTTTTGTAGAGATGAGGTCTTGCCATGTTGCCCGGGCTGGTCTTGACCTCTTGACTGCAAGCAATTCTTCTGCTTTGGCCTCCCAGGAAAAACATTTTTAATTTGGGTCCCTTCCCCCTTGATCTTTGACATTCCTTTTTTCATTTGATGGTGTGTTTGCTTGAATACTTCTATTTCCAAGGCCTCTTCAGATGTTATATATTTCCTTGAGTATCTTAATTGCCTTATTCGTTCATTAAACTTACGAGGTGTCCAGTTCCCTGCTTGAGACTGGAAGCACATCTCTGAATACCGCAGGATATGTGGCCCCAGAGTGTGTTACAAGAATATGGTCATCAGCCAGCAAATGTCTTCACCTGCTCTACTTAGATTTTAGCAATTTGCATTGCTCCTGAGGTGCTCGATTGCATATGATAATTTCAACACAGCAGGTCCCAGCAGATAGAGGAGCAGCTGTCAGATCAAGAAACCTGTCCATTGGCCCAGATTGTTCTGATGATTTGCAGCCTAACCTTGGAAGCGCCGTTTCATTTTCCATTCCAGGTTTTCACTCTGGAAAGTGGAGAATAACAGCAAATGAAGCTGGTCTTAAAGAAATCAGGTGCCCCACGTACTGTAATGAGCTCTGCTTTTCATTTCTCATGCCTGCCTTATTGACATGGACATGTCCTGTTGGTGTGTAACCTTATGTAGTAGATAGATACAAGCTATGGAGATACACATATGCAGTGTGATACCTGCAGTGTGATGTAGATACAGGAGGTTTTCTTTCCGAAGGCATATCAGGAATTGTCCCTGGAAATGACAGCCTGAAAGAGATAGGTGTGCAGTGTTGGTGGACAAGGCCGGTATCAGTTTGGTGAATCTGTGAAAGCCCATTTTGAGCCTGTTTGTAAGGCTGAGTGAAAGAACTGTTGAAGTGTGAAGAGGTGCCTGGGAAATGACTCAACCTGCCAACTTTTGAGTTCCTGGGGAGTGGGATGTAGCCTAGGGTCGGGCACATAATAGGTGTTCACTGAACATCATTTTGCACAATCCTTGTAATACTTAGTGGCCCCTGTCTCTGAGAGAATCACTGTATGTTTAGATCGTGGCTGGGATTAAAAGTGTTCCTCTTTTAAGTATTCTGAATTTATGAAACTATTATGTTTTACACTTTTTTTTTTTTGAGAAGGAGTCTCGCTTTGTTGCCCAGTGTGGATTGCAGTGGCACAATCTCCGCCCACTGCAACCTCCGCCTCTTGGGTCCAAGTGATTCTCCTGCCTCAGCCTCCCGAGTAGCTGGAATTACAGGCGCCCACCACCACGCTAGGCTAATTTTCATAATTTTAGTAGAGACGGGGTTTCACTTTGTTGGCCAGGCTGGTCTCAAACTCTTGACCTCAGGTGATCTGCCCTTTTCGGCCTCCCAAAGTGCTGGGGTTACAAGTGTAAGCCACCATGCCTGGCCTATGTTTTACACTTTTAAAAGATATTGATAATATTCAGACATCTAGTTTAAACATAAGTGCATAATGGTAATTCGCCAAGGTGAAATTGATTACTTTTCCATATTGAAGGCACAAAAGCGTATTTCTTGAACCAATAATGTCACGTCGGTGGTTCTTTTACGCTAGAATCACATGCTTTCATTAATTTTTTTAGTTTGTTGCCGTGTCTTTTGTAGCAAAGACCTTGACTTTTGTGATCTCATTTAAAATATCACCAATTGACTGACATGTTAAAAAAATCTGTTTATAAACTGTCAAAAGATAAAGCATAGGTACTTCAATCCTCTCATTCAGTGTGCTACATCCGTCTCATTAATTGCCTTTTCAGAGAGCAATGTCATTGGAGGTAATCAGTCTTTTGGAAAAAAAAAACAGACCAAAGAGTTGTCAGGAGGTTGTTTGGCTCTGAGATAATTCATTTCTTGCTTTCTTTCATAAGATACATAGGAATGTGGTAGCTAATGATCAGAAATGTGGAAACTGGAAATTGAAATTTATGTACTTGATCCTTGTACCTTGGTCAAAATATACAATCAGTCTCTCTGCTTTTCATTTTCTTCTACCTTTATGTTCTAGACAGGGCGTAAATCTCAAGTCATGCCTTTTGTCACCTATGATTTTAGCCAATGGTTTCTACATTACCTTGTGGTTTTTCATACGGATATACAGTGTGCTGATAATCGTTGAAACATCTAGCCCCAGGGTCTCTGGTGTTTGGATAAGAGTTAGCAAAAGCATATTGCATGGGAGACGTGCTTATCATTTTGTTCCTTTCCTTCCCTCTTTTCATTCTCTAATTCAAGAATTTCCGCTTGACCCAGTTTAAATGTCTTCTGCACAAATCTCTCCTCATAATGCTTTATTGGTCTTTGTCTTAGGCAGTTTGAACTGCTGTAAAGAAATACTACAAACAGGGCAGCTTAATCCACAAACTTATTTCTCACAGTTCTGAAGGTGAGGAAGTCCAAGACCAAGGTCCCTGCTGATTGGGTTCCTGGTTTGAAGACAGTCTCCTCTCTCTCTCTATCCTAACATGGCAGAGAGAGAGGATCTCTCTAGTGTCTGTTCTTTTTGTTTTTTATTTTTGAGACAGGGTCTTACTCTGTCACCCAGACTGGAGTGCAGTGGTGTGATCATGACTCACTGCAGCCTCGCCTCCCAGCCTCAGGTGATCCTCCCACCACAACCCCCCAAGTAGTTGGGACTACAGGTGTGCACCACCATGTCTGGCTATTTTTTGTTTTCTTTGAGACAGAGTCTCACTCTGTTGCCCAGGCTGGAGTGCAGTGGCATGATCTCAGCTTACTGCAACTTCCACCTCCCACATTCAAGTGATTCCTGTGCCTCAGCCTCTCGAGTAGCTGGGAGTACAGGCGTGTACCATCATGCCCAGCTACGTTTTGTGTTTTTAGTAGAGGTAGGGATTCACCATGTTGACCAGGCTGGTCTCAAACTCCTGGGCTCAAGTGATCCACCTGCCTCGGCCTCCCAAAGTGCTAGGATTACAGGTGTGAGCCACTGTGCCCGGCTGCTGCCTGGCTAATTTTTTTCTATTTTTTGTAGAGGTGGGGTTTCAGCATGTTGTCTAGGCTGGTAGTGTCTCTTCTTATAAGAGCATCAATACCATTCATGAGGACTCTACTCATGCCTAATCACCCCGCAAAGGTTCCACCTCCAAATACATCACCTTGGGGATTAGAATTTCAACATACGGATTTTTGGGGGACACAAATGTTCAGTCCATAGCATTCTTATTATTGCAGCACTAAACAGCTTGGTGTAATAATCTAATCGAAGAAAGGGGCTGTATTATCTGTGTCTTCTAGCAAGGTTTAGTATATTGCACACAAGTACTTGGTTTTGTTGTTGTTATTTATTTACTTATAAAGTTACTGTTTGAGTGCTGCACTGTGTCAGGTACTC